CAGATCTTTTTCAAGAATTGATATGTTCTGGATTTCTAAGAATTTGGTTACTAGTGTTTACAAAGTGGAGATATTGTCAAAGACTTTTTCAGATCATAATTCAATGACTTTAGCACTTAAAATGAAGGTACTGGTTATCACCTATAAAGCCCTTCACAGCATAGGGCCAAGTTATTTGAGAAATCATCTATCTCCCATGGTTTCCACCCATTTTGTAAGACGGGGCAGAATTGTTGTGCTTTGGGTTCCCTTGTTTAAATAAGGTAATATACCAGGATCCAGGAAGCATACCTTTTCTGATGTACCACCTGCACTATGGAATGATAGCTGCCACCCACCCACCTCAAGATTTGTGTAGTTTCCATTCTGATGATGTTCCAGAAGTTTTTTTAAAGAACCTGGCTGTTCTCCTAGGCCTTGGGGTAGGGTGTCTGATGTGTGGTTTGGCTGGATGCACTTATTCCAAGCTCTGAGAACCCAGAAATCAGTCTTTTTACACATACCAGGTTATCTAACATCCTCATCAGTGCTTCAAATTCTAGCTCGCCGACTTTCCATTTGAACTGAGAAGCCATACTAAATCCTGCTGCTGCAGCTACCTGATGTGTGAAAGGTTTATATTTCTGCAAGTCTAGGATAAGAAGATTGTCTATACCGCCTGCAGCCAAGGCATGTACCTGTGATATAAATGACATAGTAAATATGCAGCCTTCATGAATTTTCCATAATCAAAACATTTATTAGCAATCTTCTAGGTATATTAGCATGGAAAATAAATGCTACCCAACTTGTACAGAACAATCTGAATAACAGTAATAATAATAATAATTTTTATCCCACCTTTTAATATATTGTTTATTTTATCACTATATAAATATAGTGATAATACAAACAGGTCTTTCCTTCATTGCTGTAATTTCCTAGAAATAATTGCTCCTAATATCAAGGAACTCATTAAAAACACACCTTATCTACTTACACTTTTTATATATAGTATTTTAAAACATTTAGAGTGTTTCACTTCTCTCTTCTTACCTGTGTTTCACAGGCTAATTGCACATTGTAGATGTAGTGAAAGGCCTCTTCTAATGTCTCTCCCAGTGCTACTACCCCATGGTTTCTCAAGACCAGCACCTAAGAAACAGAGATACTTGTAATTGGTAGAAACTGCACAAGTAGTAGAAATTTTCAAAAAACATTAACTAGAATGGAATACCTTACAGCTTGGTCCAAGAACTTTTTGAAGATCTATTCTTTCTTCCTGTTCATCCAGAGATCCCTGATAATCATAGTATGCAACATCCCCTAAAATCAGAGCCTCCTGAGAAATGGGAAGTATTCCACACTTCATGGAAGAAACCTGTTTGAAACATTTAAGATTTCTATGGTGGAGGAAATGTGAAAATATGGACATATTGACATTTATATTTGCCACTATGAGGTGTGCAACTTGATATCCTTCAAGTATTCTACAACTCCTTTAAGTCCCAATTAGCACAGACAATGAATTAGATTATGGTACTTGCAGTCATAAACATCTATAGGGGATCTCCTATCAATGACTGCTGTACAGGAGCAACTCTGATCTTCAATTTCTAAAACATGCAAGGCTCTAGGTTATGTTCCATAGTGGTTCCTCTCTTTATACTATTATATAAATTATGGTTAATAAGAATAAAACCACCTTGACAGGTGAATCAAGCTGAAGAATATGAGAAACTAAAGATACCACAGCATAATTAAAGTTTAATACCATACAGTTCAGTTCCAATATAGCTAAATCAAATGACAATACAGTAAAAGGATAATTTCAAGTCTGTAAATTAATAACAATATAAGACAGATGGTCTGATAAAGATTTGAATAACAATCCATTGACATTTGTCTGTCTGTCCATCTCATCTCATCCCATCTCATCCAACCACAATTGTTCTATCGATTTATATTCAATTTATATTCCACCATAATGCAGTAATAACAGTAACAAAAATATACAAAAATTCATGACAAAAATTTCAAATACTAAAATCAGTTAGCAATTAAAAGCTCAGTTTAAAGAGGTGTATCTTAACTGATCTTTTAAAGGCACAGGTATTCAGGGCTGAATCCAACTTTTATACAACTTCACAATGCAAGCCAATCCAGGCCTGAACATAATTAAGTAAGTTTTGATGAATGGTGAGTCGTCGTCGTCATCATCATCATCATCATCATCATCATCATCATCATCATCATCATCCTGCTAGACTGGT